GTATATTTCCTGGAAACTGGGGTAGGGTAAATATATTAGGGATTGAATGGCAAAAAACAAGCAAAGCTGAAAGAAAATGATTGCTGTCGTTATTCTTTCTTTCCTTTTGTTTCGTTTCCTGTTCTCTTCCACTTCCTTTCTTCCCAACGAGCTGGTGGAAAAGTAATCCAGTATAGAACTGGTCAGAATAATAACAGAATAACAGATTTGAAAGGGACCTTTGAGGTCTTCTATTCCAACCCCCTGCTCAAGCAGGAAACCCTATACCAGTGATGGGGAACCTTTTTGGCACTGAGTGCCCAAACTGGAATGCGCGTAACCTGTAGCCCCTGAAACTCAAAGACCAGCTGGCTGGTGCAACCACTTGGTATTCTGGTTTCTGGTGCTTGCATGCACGCCAGCCAGGTGGTCTTTGTGCATGCCGGAGCCCTGAAAACTTGAAGACCAGCTGGCTGGTGCACACATGCGCAGATGACATGTGCACCGGCCACCTGCTCTTCTAGTTTCCGGTGCACGCATGCACGCTGGCCAGTTGGTCTTTGCGTGTGCCGGAGCCCCGGAAACCCAAAGATCAGCTGGAGATGGCACGTGCCCACAGAGGGCTCTGTGTGCCACCTCTGGCATGTCTGCCATAGGTTTGCCATCATGCCCCTGTGCCATTCCAGACAAATGGCTGTCTAGTCTCTTCTTAAGAGCCACCAGTGATGCAGCACCCACAACTTCTGGAGGCAAGTCGTTTCACTGATTAATTGTTCTAACTGTCAGGAAATATCGCCTTAGTTCTAGGTAGCTTATCTCCTTGATTGGTTTCCATCCATTGTTTCTTGTCTTGCCTTCGGGTGCTTTGGAAAATAGATTGACCCCTCTTCTTTGTGGCAGCCTCTCAAATATTGGTAGCCCTTGCTACCAAATGGTCATTCTGAAACCAGAAGGATGCTGAGGGATGGCTTCTTTCTTGTCTGCAGGTTCATAAGTGCCAAGGAAAAATCAATCCGATATAGCCTTCTCAGCCCTAAGGATGCTGTTAGAGGGAAAACATCACCTCTAGGATTTCAGCCTTTTAAAGTTGCTGAGATCCTGTCATCTTATTTCATAAAAGGGAAAAAAAAGCTGCTTTCGTTATGGAACAGAAACTGGGACATGAAGCATTAGCTTCTTCTGTTTTTCTTCCAAGCTAAATTAAGTTTCTCAGGCTCTCTGATGTAAAATCACAGTCGTGAAGTTAGAAGGATTTATTTACACCATCAAGACTAACCCTTTCTTAGTGCAGGAATGTGGATTAAAGGCTCCCTGACCTCTTTGGAACGCCATCACTACTAATTGGTTTTACTGTTGACCTGTTCTTACTTTTAGGATTTTTCTCTCTCTACAATTCAGTTGGAATCTGTTTCCTGTAACGTAATTCTGTTATTGTGTATCTTCCATTCAGTCAATGGAGAATAAACTGTGGCACCAAGTCAGATATTTGAACAGTACTATTGCATATCCTGTCAACTTTTCTAAAAGCTAAACTTGAGAGACCGCCTNACTATGGGGTGGAGATATTCACCCAGGAGCTACTGGTGGTCATCCAATCCACCATCGGGAAGTTTTAAGCTTGTCTCAGAAAGGGTTTTGTCCACACACTGAAGTCTTGGGCGGGGCTGCTCAGTTCACTGCCTTTGGGGCCATTGTATATGCAGGGAGTCCTTGGCCTATGACGACAATTGAGCCCAGAATTTATGTTGCTAAATGAGAAATTTGCTAAATGAGTTTTTAACTCATTTGTTTAGTGAATCACTGTGGCTGTTAAATTAGTAGCACGGTTGTTAAGTGAATCTGGCCTCCCCATTGACTTTGCTTGGCAGAAGGTCGCAAAAAGAAAGATCACATGACCCTGGGACACTGCAACCATCATAAATATGAACCAGTTGTCAAGCATCCAAATGTAAATCACGTGATCATGGGGATACTAGAAAGACTGTGCTGTTTGAACTGTCACTAAATGAACAGTTGTAAGTCAAGGACTATCTGTACTCTACCATGGAGAAAGCTCTCCAAATGTTGGGAAGCTTCTAATCCTCTGCAAAATTGGGTTAATGTTGGCCTTATGCTACTATAATGTTCAGTGACTTTTGATTGCAATTAATTTTATGTTGTTAATTTTCTAGTGAGAAGCTGGATGGAAAAACTGAAAGACAAGGTAGGGAACTCTTCTCAGTATAATTTATTTTAAAATGCACTGTAATTTTTATTTTTATTTTTTAGAAATCCACTATGGAGAGATGACCTTTTAATCCAGAGGTCCCCAACCTTTGCGGTTTGGCAGCCCAGCTTGGGGGCGGGGGTGGTGGAAGAGGGGAACAGGGCCATGCAGCTCCACTCACACAAGAGAGAAGACTTTGGGATGCGGTCCCTCATTCCTTCAGGCTTCTCCGTGCCAAAAGGGTTTGCAAAGGGATGGAAGGCCTCAAGCAGTGCGAAATCGCTCCCCCAAAGCCCTTTGCCCATTTGCAAAAGCTTTTGGCACGAGGAAGAGAAGGCTTTGGGGGGCTTAGTCTCGTGCTCCTTCACCCACCAAGGCTGCTTGACGCTCCAAAAGCGGATCAGGTGTCTTGCACAGGTAGCCTTGATAAGTCAGCGAAGCTGAGCACAGCCTGCTTATCCCACTCAGCCTCTGTTGTCATCGCTCCACCTTTGCAGCCTAGGGAGAAGGTGACTTGGTGGCCCACTCGTGGGGGCAGAGGGGAACCAGGCTGCATGAGTGGTGGGCCAGCACGTATGCGCACGCAGCTCCACTCATGCAAGAGAGAAGAGAAACCTTTGGGGCACCACTCACATGAGTGGAGCTGCACGTTTGCACCGGCCTGCCTCTCATGTGTCCCAGTTCTGAAAAGGCCATGACCAAGCAGTGGGCCACAGCCCAGGGATTGGGCATCCCTGTTTTAATTCATAGCTTTTGATAAGACTCAGATGCTTTCTGGGTGGGTAGCAGAGAGCACAGTTGTTTTATGAGTTGAATGATGACCATGAATCTCCATAGATGGTGTCATGTGCATCATTATTTCATTGCACGTCACTATGTGATGGCATCAAGGTACATGTGCTGTCTTACTGGAGTCCTGTGGTCATTTGTGGTTCTCAAGCCTTGGATCCCATTTTTATAATGGCATCTTCTGGATTATGAGTGCTATAGAATTCTGAGATTTATAGTTCCAACACATTTCGAAGGGAAGACTGTTTTGGTCTATCATACCCAGCCTTTTTCTTCCTGAGTACTGAGTAATTTTTGCTACAGGTCCTGGATTCTACCCTCTTCTCTAAAAATTAGTAGAAGCAGAATATTGTGTGGAAATACTGTGTATGTCCCAATTCTGCTAATCACCCTGAGGATTTACTGCTTATATATTTGGAGCCTTGCCATTCTACAGTCTTCTCAATATGCAATGTGTACCTAAACATTGTATAGCTGATACATTTATTTTAAGTAGGTTTCCCATGCCAGAATCCACAGGGGGAGAGAGCTGTGAGATGCAGGAATCCTCATTTGGGTTTTACAATTCCTTTGTGGGGAGGTAAAGTCATTTGAACACTTTGCATGTAGCATCTCCATATCTCCAGAAACAAGGGCAGGGCAGTGCATGTTCCTTCCCAGAAGGAAGCAAAGCCTGTTTTTCAAGTTGTAACTAGGAACTGAAATTTGAGTGTTTTACAGTGCTTTAGCAGTGCTTTGCTGCACCGGTTATCAAAAGTGAGGATGTGGTCTGCAACAGATGCAGGGTATTCCCACATATGATAAACTGCTCTTTAGGGACAACCCCAAGAAGACCATGTTGCAGTAATCCAAACAACAATCCCAACATGAGGGCATGGGATACTGTGACCAGAGCCTCCCAGTTCAGCAATGATCACAACTGGCTCACCACCTGAAAAATCTGCAATGACTGTCCTAGGCCTGGCTGCCAACTACTCTTTAAGCAGGAGCCATGAGTCTAGGAGGATCCCTAGATTGTGTACTGGGTCCATCTGGAGCAATGCTACTCCATCCACCTCATCCAGATGGAAAAACCTTGTTTCCAGAAAGTCCAAACACTCACAGCCACTCAGTCTTGCTTGGGTTAAGTCGAAACCCACTGAATCTGCAGATGCTAGATGAATTATCATTAAAATTTGGATAAGCAGGCTATCTTGTGGGCCTTTAGGTTACATACATATGAATGGCAGCAGGTTGAGGAGAAACACTTACACATTCCCAAGCACTTCAGGCCACTGACTGTGATCATTTCCATATGAATCTAAAAATAGCCAAGGATCCAGATATGACTATGTCCTTGTGGAGAATGCTTAATGGCCAGGATATCACTCGCAAACAGCCCTTCTGCACTCACACCTTCCTACCCTTAGAGGGCAGGAATATCTGAAGAAGATTACATATAAGAATATCTAGAAATGCATCAGCATAAATGTATTTACAAATGTAGAAGCAGTGCCCTATCATTTCAATGGACAAAATGCAACACATCATCTGTGTGTTGTATTCCTGAACAAGTTGCTACGTCACTCTTAGGATTTTCAGCCAGTGTGGTTAGAAACCAATGGAATATTTGACCTAAAGGCCTGAGACACCTTGTGGATACTAGGCTGATGAAGGTTGAACAATCTGTAAAGAGACCTTGTTTAATTGTTCAGAATTGGGCTAGACCCGTCAGTATACACAGCCTCACCTATTTGTTTCTCTTTCCTTTCCTCCCTGCTGACTTCTGCTTCGTGAATCCATGAAACTCCACTGTCAGGCCTATAAGGTAGACCAGACTAAGCTATCAATGCCATATAGATCAGGCCTACATTGTAACAGCTATAGTAATAGAATCCTTTAAATCAAATTAAGTCTAAATAAGCTTCTCCTCTGAACCTTCTTATCTTTGGGCGAATCAGGCAAAGATTTGTTGGAGACTTTTTTTCAATCTTGTATTTTGGACAGGACACAGTGACCTCTTATCTGATTGTTTCCCTTGTAACAGCTCTTCCTCCTGTCCTCCAAGGTCACACCCTATGCCTTCTACCTCTATATGGGCTTATGTAGGTATAGATATTTCTTTGATTATAATCAGTTGCTTAGCAATGGTTTGAAGTTATAGCAGGCCTCCCCAAGGATAGTGTTCTTATGGTCCCGTTCTAAAGTTTCCCACCCCAATGGTCACATGACCATATGTTAGGCTCTTGGCAATTGGTCATTTGCAGCATCCTTGGTCATGTGACTATCTTTTTTATGATGGTTTTACTGAAAATAGGCTTTCGTTTCTGGTCTTCAGCAAAACTGTCCATAGTGAACAATGGGTTTGCTTAATGACCATATATATTTGCTTAACAACTGTGGTGTTTGCTTAATCACAAAAAAAAAAGGTTGCAAAATTGGGTTAAGTCATATGGATAACTTTACAATCATCACAACCTATGACTGTAGTGGGCAGACACCATTACAGACATAAGTTGAGGACTACCTCCATTCAGCTGCCAGATCATACCCAAGATCAGGTACATCCAAAATTTGGAAGACAAATCAGCATTAAAAAAAATTGGTTGCTTTGTCAAACTAAATAATAAAGTTTTCCTCAAACTTCAGCCTTATTTTTCTTTCTCTGACTGGAGAATAAGGAATATATTTTTGACAGCCTCATTTCATCCCATTAAAGACTCCAAAATACCCTTCAACTAGCACAGCAACTAGTGATACGATCACCTTTAGGCAGGGATGTGCAGTCACTAAAGGCAAGGGAGGCGGAGCCTCACCAGTCTCCTCAGGAAAAAGAAAGAAATTTAAATATATTT